GAGGGCAGTCCTCACTAATGAGTTGATCAGACTCCCCTTCTGCTCAAACTTAGCAGGACTGACACACTGGCTAACTGCAGTGCCCCCAGGAGTCTCACCAGAATCAGGCAGGCAAGCAGGCAGACAAACAAATTGTGTCATCCTCCCTTTGGGGTCGGATGTGAGTGCTCAGGCAAGGAGGCAGGAGTCCTCCTCCAGACCTCCAAGGGCACTGGAGAAATCCTGAGTGTGTGCCTTCCTTTGGGGCCTGGAGAGGCCCTTGTTCCATCCACAAGGGCCACAACTGGTGACCAAAGAGGTCAGCAAAGTTGGTCTTCCCGGCCAATACACCAGATGCAATGGCAAGCAGAAACACCAAAAGGACACCCAGGATTTGGAGGCAGATTTATTTACATCGATGGACACTGATCAGGATCACTCCCAGAATATCAGCCCTGTGGTCTAGGGCTTACATGAGATAAGCAAGTAGGAAATACAGAGGCAGAATGGCTTGTCAAGTAGGCATTGGTTCTTATAATATGCATCTTGCAACCAGTGATGCATCACAGTGACCAGCTGTTTCTGAGAGACAGAAGCAACTGGAACAGGAACTATCACCTTGGGCAACTGAAGTATACTGACTGGGGGGCATTTTCTGCTATACTTGATACTACTGATAATATTTATAAAACAATGAATTGGAAGACTATGTCAGCAGGTTATCTAAATTTCTTATTTAAATTTGATTTCAGTTTACTACAATCTTCTTAGTCTTGGAGACTTAATTCTCAGTGCTTTTAGAAATTTGACTAATCAAATGCATAGAGTTACCAAGTTATAATAAAATCAAACAAACAAAAGCAGTGATATACAAAATTTTAAAAATTAAATAATGTTGGACATTTACACATATTTTTTTCTGGAGATCCCAGAAAGTACATTTTGAGCTTTTTAGCTATGAATAACTAATCTGCGAGTATGGCAAAAGTAAAAATTCTATGTTGTACAGAATATCACCTAAAGTGCTATTAAAACAGAAGTATCAAAAATATCTAGAAGTAGTATTCATACTCAGAAAGTTCAGCATCAATATGTCAGTTTTAGGTGATTAAAGGTATTCTACATCGGTAGAAGAAAATTAACTAACCATTGCTGGTGATTATACTTTCATGTTCAAATTCCTAAGCAGTGATTTTAAGTAATTCAAATATTAAAGAAGGAGTAACACCAGATGAAATCACGGATGACTAAAAAAATTCTTTTAAATTTAAATGTCCCTTATTATTATCAAAATGACTTCAGGGAAATACTTTTGAAGAAATCCATCAGAGAGTTAACACCCGAAAACTTACTATTTTAGGTAGAAACTAGAGCACAAATCCAATGCAGGTTCCATAACTACTTATCCACTATACTTTATAACATAAGAACGACTTCAAACTATTTTCACATAAAGAGAAATATCCATAAGCATAACCCAAAATATCTGCAACCAAATAAACCCATAATTCTGAACAATAACATTCAAAACATATAAGCACCAACCTAGTCAATGTTCCTATCAATGAACACATGCTGGCCTTAACTCTAGAGGACTCTCAAGAACCAGGCTTTACATTTTAAATGGGACAAGAGTGAGAGAAAGGCACTGCGGAGGCAGTGGGCAGATGACTTGGGGAGAAGCACTGTATCCTTCAGCCAACAAGAGAATAAATAACCACTGTTCACTGGCCATCTGTCAGCCTGGAAGCTGACGATTTATAAAGAAAAAGAAATACCTTGTAACAAGCAATAAAAAGGCAACTACAGTCAAATGAAGATATACAAATACATCAGTTTAGAAGAAGAAAGGAGCAGTTAGTAAGGTTATCAGGCATTTACTAAATGATGATGACACTGAAATAATCAAGAGTTACAGTAGGAAGGGATTTATGCAGCAAAAACATACATGTACTTCCTTAATCTCAATCCCCCCCAAAAATGAATACAGAGCATCTCAGTTTCCAAAGACACAGCACTAGATCAAATTAAGAACTGCATACCAGTAAGATTATAATTTTCCTTCAAGCCTTTGAAAATAATAAAACTGAAAAATTTCTTAGTAAAAGTATATTACACCAATCTCACTGACTGAATTATCTTAATACACATTATCTCCTCAGAAAGAGACAAAGAAAGGCTAATGAATTCCAGGAGATATGACACTGATGTGATGAATTCAGTAGAACTGAAATAGGTTATCCCCCCCAACACACTCGATCACCAACTCAAGTCATATTTATCTTCTAAACCGCCTGTTTCTTCCTCTCTGCTCTCTTCATAACTATTCTAGTTCTGACCCTCATCTTTCACCTGAATTATTACAGCAGCTACGTAGCTGATCCTACTACCTATCAGCTAACATATCACTTCTCCAACTCAGCCCCCAAATTACCCTTCAATGCATCCTTCACAGTGCCGTAACTTTTAAAGCAGTCATATGCACTTACTTTGCTGTATTCCCATGTAAAAATAGGTACATATCCTTATTGTCTTCTGACTGCTCTGTAGAATAAAACTCAAAATTTCCTCAACATTGCATGTAACACTCAGAGCCGACCCACCTAGCTAATGTCTGATTTTGTCGCTGACTCAGGTGACCACTTGTAACATCACGTCACTTTTTGAAGATTTTTTGAGAAGGGAAGGTTTAAATTTCTATCATACTTATTATGCCATTTTTGAAACATTCCATGCTAACCTTGGCCTCTCTGCTACTATATTTTATGGGCTGAATTGTGTCTCCTAACTCCTCAAAATAATACATTTTAGCCTTACCCCTCAATGTGATGGTACTTGGGCGAGGCATCTTAAGGAAGATAAGGCTATGGCCATAAGGGTGGGACCCTCAACCCCTCCCTTTATCAGCAGAGGAAGTGACACTAGTGAGCTGTCTAGACAGGAGCACAGAGGAATGTTCATGTGAGCACAGCGTGCCAGGTGGCCATCAATCACCAACGAAGAGACCAAAGTTTCCAGCATCTTGATCAGACTTCTTAGCTCCAGAACTGTGAGAAAATAAGTTGTTTAAACCACCTGCTCTGTGGTACTTTGTTATGTAAGCCCAAGGTAATACACTGTATATCTATTCATCTTTATTCTTTGTCAACTTGGTGGACCAATTTCCACTCCTTCAATCTCAAGTATTACTTTCTCTAGGGTCTTTTAATTTTGCAAGGCAGAATAAGAACTTACTCCTCCACCATCAACACCTGGTGTAGATCTCCTTTGGAGCAGTGAAGACTATACTCATAACTTCTTTATTTACATGTCTCCCTATGTGAACTTCGAGAACACAACCTATGACCTTCCATATTTGTTCCCAAGACTTAGCAGAGTACCCAATATACAGGCGCTCCAAAAACATATGAGATATATGACTGTTAAATCCATACCATTATCTTTGCCTTAAAATTAACTATAATTTTATGAAGGAAAAAAAAAATACATCACTGAAGCTGGGTACAGTGAAGCACACTCATAATCCCAGCTACGCAATAGACTGAGGCATTAGAATGACAAGTTCTAGGCTAATATGGACAATATAGTGAGACCCCATATTAAAAAAATACCTCACATCAAAGAAACTAAGGTATGTACCTCCAAAAACAGTCAAGCTATTTAGTCAATCTTTAATATATATCCGCCTCATTCAAATATTTATGTATAATGAATAACCAAAACACTAGCACTTTTTAATAATTATTCTTTTATTCTTGACTGCTGCTAAGACCTATAGTGTTTCTAATGGTTCTCAGTCATACTCTAAATCGGGGACTGGCAAATTACTATGTTTATGTAAGGTTTTCTTTTAACACTTTTTGTTTACATATTGTCTTCTATGACTACTTTAGAGCTACAAGAGACAGCTGAATCACACAGACCAAAGAGACTACAAACCCAAAATATTTATCTTGCCCTTTAAGAGAAGTTTGCCAATCACTGTTCTAGATAATTCAGGATTACAAAGCACCTCCAAATTATCAAAGCAAATTAACATGAGTTTTCTTTAGAAGTCAACAAATATTTTTTAAATGTATTCAGTAGCTAAAATAAATAGTAAAAACAGTTTTTAAAAAAATCCTCCCAACAAGTATTCTTTTACATGACACTTTAAGGCAGCCAACAGGAATCGGAAACATGACTAGACTATAAAACACTTGCATTCTATTTCCTGAAGCTATAAAGAATAACTGACCAATTTCATTCCTATCACAAATTGTAATTCATAAATGCAATGTTGTATATATTAGGTTATTTATTCAAATCTATAACACCAAATTATAAACAGAAATTATTAAAGATTAGCACGTAGTATATTTTCTACTATAAGAAAGAATCTAGACCTATTTTTAACAGACAAATACAGTACCTTCTATTAATAAGGACAAATTTCAGATGTAATATATAAAGTTTTACTGATATTAGTATAAAAATGAAGATCTAAGGAAAGAACCACTGACAAAGATTTGTCAACTGTCAAAGATTTGTCAACTCTAAAAAGATACAAAGACACAGGTTTGTTTGGGTTTTTTTTAATCAAAGTACTTTTTATAATAGTGACAAAACTGCAAACATCATAATGTCCATGTAGTCACTACTAGACTATTCAAATAAAATGCCAAAATCTAAGAAGGGGCTACAATACAGATAAACTGACAGCTGCACATTTACCATCCTGAGGAGATGTCCATGATATTGTAACAAGCAGATTACCAAGAACTGGATAATATGCAAACACACTTGTATAAAACTGATGCATGAGGGTGCATTCAATGGGAGGAGGAGTACGCTGAAATCCTTTAAGCACACAAACATGCCTATATGGGACAATTTACACCAAAATGTTAGTTGTGGCTGTGTGATAATATAGAAGCAATTTGCTTTTTTATCGCCCACTTTGTTTTTCTTTCCTGAATGAATCTTTTGTTATTATTTAAATAACTGTTTCTATTGTCAGAGTGAAAAAAATCAAGACTTACCCAACTAAAAGAAGAAGGGCACAGATCACAGCAAATCCCAAAGTGTACTTCAGTGCAGTTTTAATTTGCTAGATGTCAAGGGACAAAAGTGTATCAGTAGAAGCCCTCACGTGAAAATTCTTACAAAAGTGTAACAGTATTTTTATATCCGATATACACTTTTAATGAAGAGTATAAAGCTTCACTTGTTAGGGAAAAAAACCTTAAAATTTAAAGAGAAATAATCAGCATACCATATTTAAGAATCTTTACAAAATACTCAAGCTTTTAAAGTTTTTTCAATGGTTAACTTCTTATGATAAGTAATACTCTGGAGATGTAATTTTTTACTTAATGGTCATCTTCAATAAGATTATTAGAATATTTAATGAAATATTCTCTCACAAAAGTAGCGATCAGAAGCTACAATGCCAAGTCATCAAAATGGGTTATGATAATAAACCTTTAATATCCACATGTATGTATATATATATATATATAAAATACACATAAATAAACACATCTATATACATAATACTTATATACATGTAGATATACCCACATACTTCAATATATATTTTAAATATATCCTAACATATCATGCCAGGCACCTTCCGAAGAACTTTACATATGTTAATTTATTTAATCCTCATAACAACCCTAAGATACAGGCTTTCATCCTTACTTTAGAGATAAGGACATCAAGGCCCAGAGAGGTTAAATAATTTGCCCTAAATCACATAGGTCACAAATAATTAAACAAACTTAAAACCAGAAACTGGGAATTTAAAGACTATACTTTGGTGCCCATAATGTAATCCAGAGGGAAAACAAGCAAGAAAATACACTCAAAGCTACCCATTTTGACCATGGATTAGAAGTTAGTATTCTCAAAGAAAAAGTTAAATCAGAAATAGCATTGGTCCTCTCAGACTAATCAAGTCTCCAGAAAAATCACCTTTTAAAATTTAAATTCATGCTTCATATGAAAAGGTCTTATCCTCAAAAGGGATAGGCCATCTGCAGGTGGGGCAGGGGGTGAAACTAGAGGGAAAGTAACGAGGGTCCCCACTGCAGGATGGAGGCAGTAACTCATCTCCTCCCCGAGATTTTATTAAATATACAACCAGCCACTTTACCTTATATACTTTCCAGATATAAAGTTACACAGTACCTGAAAATAATAATTCTAACTACTGATAAATAAGATGTAAATGTTCTGAAGGCTTTAAGCATGTCTAATCACAATGCTATTTTCTGAATGAATACATTTTTTGTATTTACTTAATGAACAAGGTATAAATTTTTGTAAATCAGTACAAAGATATTTATTCCTATTATGCTGCTTTTTCCACCTTAAAAAATGTTTTACTTTGACAAAGATCTTTCACCCACTGCTTCTTTGTCCTGTTCATTACTGTATATTAGTAAATTTCCTGATTCTAAACCATCTATGCAACCTAGAGATAGGATGAACTTGATTATAAAATATCAATATGTTTTAAGGTATCCCACAATTACATTCATTTATATTTAATAAAAAAATGTATACCAATGCTTAAATGATACTGGCATGCAGTTCTGTATACTCTTGTATGCTATACATATCAGGTTTTTCTATCAGTGTTATCACAGATTAGTACAAAGTACAATATGTGCAAGTGTTCCTCTTCTATGCACTAGAAAAGGGGTCACAAATCACACTGTATGTTCCCCATCCGGCACAGCTCCTGTGTCACTGCATCACAAATGCTCATTTAAGTGTTGTCTTTGGATACTTTGACACTATAAAGACACGGCTGAGTAGTGGTAACTCAGACCACTGACTACCAGCCTTCTACAGAAAAAGTGCAGATCCCTGTTCTAGAAATCCTTTGTTTAAACCAACAGTCCCAAGCCATATGTGGCTACCAAACACCCGAAACATGGCTCGTTCTAATTTTTTTTTTTTTTTTGGTTTTTCTCCGGTACCGGGAACCGAACTCACGACCTTGCGCTTGCCAGGCAGGCGCTTTTGCCGTTGAGCTAAATCCCCAGCCCCTCGTTCTAATTCTTAAGGGTAAAAGACAATCTAAATTTCGAAGATCTAGTGTGAAAAAATTTAATACTTTAGTATGTTTTGACTAAAATTTAAATGACAGTACTTAAACATGATATTAAATACACATTTAGATTCAAATGAATTTTAACAGTTTAGTATGGTCACTAGAAAATTTCGAATTTTACATGTGAATAAGATTTTATTTCTATTAGACAACACTGACCTAACATAAACTCAAATGGAATCGTATTCTTTGAAAAAGAAAGAAATAATTCTTAACTAAAATGGGACCTCTAAGATAGAGACAACTCACTGTGCATTTGCTAGTATCATCATCATCCTTTTCTTCATAGTAGAAGTAGACAAAAGGGATCCAGAAGAACACACAGAACAATATAACAGAATACAAAGCTGTGGAAATAAAGTATACACTGAGTTCTACTGAACACATACGTTTATCAGTTATCTGCCTGCAATTATGCATGTGTGTATGTTTATATATATATATACTTGGCAAATGCACTCCCCATCCACTTTCCTACATTCCTGTGTTTGTCATATTCAGACTTTTCTCTTTCCTATCCCAAGAAATCAGTAACACTATTAGAATAACACACTAACTATGGGAAATTTGTAACAAACATGAAGATAGTAATTGTGCCAATAATAACTGTGGCACATACAAACTTAAGAATCACCTCACTTAAATTACCTTTTTTATTCATTCCAACTTAAAAAGGAGGACAGATGACCCAACACTGGCCAGTCACTCTGACAAGTTAAAGAGCCAGGTATAAATGATACGCTCCTTTGGATATAAATAATTCTCACTGCTAAGTTCAAAATATGCAGTATTCTAAAACTGATATTACACAGAGCAAAATGAGGGCTTTAAAAAGCAGGAACATTCAGTTCAAGATTAACTCACAGGATTTACTATTTTTCTGCCTTAAAATAATCATATAGCTCTGCGTCACAGGCACCTGCCTCGCAAGCGTGAGGTTGTGAGTTCGATTCCCAGTACCAAAAAAAAAATCACTGTATGAAATATGAAACAGTCTAAAGTGATTTTTTTTTCAAAAGATAGGGCTAGGGTTCAGGATTTGAGATGTCTATAGACAGTCAAGATACTTAATTCAATAAGAGCTTAAAAAGTCTGAATAGCCAGAGACATAGTATCTTTAACAGTAAAAACAGATGAACAACTTCTCGGCCTAAGTCCCCCCTCCCCCCCGCCAGGAACCTGTTTTTAAAAATCTAGGTTTTAACATTTATTTACATATACAAGTTTATGAAACATAATAGTACCAGTATAAATACATTAACCAATTACAAGATGAGAGTCATTGTATTTCTTTGTAAAAGAAAGAACACATTTGTTGCTGGATATGGTGGCATGTGCCTACAATCCCAGCATTTCAAAGGTGGAAGCAGGAGGACTGCAAGTTCAAGCCCAGCCTGGGCAACTCAGCAAATCAGTGAGACTTATGTAAGAAAAAAGCTAAGGCTGTAGCTCAGTGTGAAGGCCCGGGGCTTAATCTTCAGTACCACAGTCAAAAAAGAAACAAAACAACAACAAAAGGATGGTTTTAAAAAAAGCGTTTGCAAGGATATGAAGAAACTAAAAAAACCCTATGGGCTCACTGTTAGTGGGAATTTAAAATAGTACAGCCTCTGTGGAAAACAGCATGGTGGTTCCTCAAAATATTAAAAACAACTATCATACGATCCAGCAATTCCATTTCTGAGCATGTACGCAAAAGAACTGAAAAAAGGTTTCATGTTCATAGCCGCATTACCCACAATAGCTAAATGTAGAAGTAACCCAAATGTCTACTGATAGATAAATGGAGGAGCAAAATGTAGCATGATACATAAAATTAAATAGAATTCAGCCTTAAAAAGTGAGGGAATTCTGACATGTGCTACAGCACGAACTTGGAGACCATCCTGCTAAGTGAACCAAGCCAGCTACAATAAGACAAATACTGTCTGATTATACTTGTATGAGATACTTAGTTCAAAATCACTGAGACAGAAAGTAGAAGAGTGGTTGTCTTAGTTACTTTTCTTGCTGCTAACACAAAATACCCGACATCCACAGTTAAAGGAGAAAAGGTTTATTTGGCCGGCAGTTTGTAGAGTTTCAGATCATAGTTGGGTGACTCCAGGGCAGGTGGCGTGACAGAGGCGCATTGCGGAGGAGAAAGTTCATGGCAGCCAGTAGACAGCAAAAGCAAGCAAGCAAGTGACAAACTACAAGTAACCAGCAGCAAGCCTCCTTCTGTCCATTATACTATATCCAATATTACCCCTAAGGATTGAAAACTCATACCCTTAATCCCAGCACTCTGAATCCTGGCATTACACCATGAATCAGTCACATACTCTAGATCCGCATGACTGTATGCAGCTTTGGGGGTACGTCTAGACACAAGCCATAGCAGTGGTTGTCAGAAGCTGAGGCAAAGAAAGGAATGGGGATTTACAGTTTAATGGACACAGAGTTTCAGTTTGACAAGATAAAAAGAGCTGGTCAAGGATCAGCACTGTACGCAAGTCCTCCTGAAGACAGCCAAAAGCTGAGAAAGCACTACCAGATTGGCTGCATTAACTCTTCCCCAACAGGAATGTTCATACATCCATACTTCTTACATTGACCAAAAACTAGAAGTGATCCCAATGTCTATCACAAGTGAATAAGCAAACAGAATGATATATTCATACAAAAGATTAGCACGGTACAATAAAAGAGATGAGGCACAGATGAGCTGACTTGTTTTGCGGTGTCCTTCATAAAAAATTCCTTCTTTTCACCCATAAATATAAAAAATTATAAAGATTGAATTTAAGTAATGTTTTTATATGGTTTGGATCATATCTAATACAATGTTGGGCTTATGGATCAGTAAATGGAAAAATAAATTACTACTATTACTACCATGCTTCTTTTAAAGTCCTCCCTCAAACTCATAGCTATTTTCAAAGGAAAATTATTCTTCACTCCACAGCCATGCCATGCTCATATCCTAACATCTTTATAAAGTATGCTTTTACTTACGTTTTTGTTAAAATATGGCTACTACCAAATAAAAGATACAGATTTGTAGTTTAATAGACCCACCAACATCCAAAAACATGTTAAGAAAACTTAACAAAACCTCATGTCCACAGAAATACACAAGGAATTAAACTGATAGAGTAAGTTCCTTTTTAAAAACAACTTATCAATAACTAGCAAAACTAAGTGAATAGAGCCATAAATTTTTAAAAGACCATGACCATAAACTGTTGCAAAGAATACATAATACCCATGATTTTTAATATATACAAAAAGCAAGAGATCTACCTTTTAAGTGCTGTATATCATTATAGTTCACATGAAAACTAATTTGTATATATATTAGGTTACTGAATTGTTAAAATTTAAAAAAAAAATATTCCTCCTAACTACTAATCAAAAGAACTGACTTTGAAACCAAAACACTATGATAAGGAATATCCTAATCGATATTGTGAAAGAATAGTCATTATAAAACTTTTTGCTTTAGAAGGTCAAAGTATAAAGATATTCTAGGAACTCTAATAAAAGTTCCTCCACCCTTCATTTTGTCTTTTTGAGTCTCACTATGTATGGGGTTAATAATATCCCTTACTTATTGTGGGATGATCAGGCAATCTCCCAAACAAGTGTACGGAGAAGGTTAAAGAAAAGGAGGACAATGGAATGACTTCAGGGCTCCAGGAGGATCAAAGTCCTCTCACAGAATTCAAGATTCTCTCGGGGCTAAGACCAAGACCTCCTCTAGGTGGCCTGTTGGTTATCAGAAGAAGGGAGGGGAGTACTCAAGAAAGGTGGAATTACTCAAGGACTTCTCCAAGTAAGGTATTACATTAATCCTTCATAAGGAGTAAATTAATCCACCTAGGAGTGAGATGCCTGAAGCTATAGTCTTTACCTAGTGGAGATCAGATCCAGGTGTGTTTGGCTATGATCTTGCATTATCCTTTGAGGCTTTCTGATTTCATCCACCATTACAGGTTTTAGTAGAGATTAGTAACTCACAGAAGTTCACTTACCATGAGTCCATTGCCCACTTCCAGACAAGCAGCCTAGGCTTTGGACAGATTCACGAGTAAACATAAAAAGCCAACTGGTTAATTTAACTCCTGCTTGGGACTGCTTCATAGTGGTCTCCAGCAACTATGTAGTTCAGGATGGACTTGAACTCACTTTGTAGCCCAAGCTGGCCTTGAACTCACAGCAATCCTTGTGAAATGGCATGTGCAAAGGTACACAAGGGACTTCAAACTACCTACCTCAAACTTCACACCTTCCATAAATATTTTGTAAGTGTAAAGCAATATATGTTCAGTGTACATGAAAGCTGTCATTATTTGCAAGACTGCTGCAATAGGCAGCTTCTCAGCATGACTCTTGCTGGTGCTATGGTATTTATATCCCTGTGCAATGGGACACAAATACCATAGGTGGCCAGAGGCTGGGCCTAGTAACTCACTGCTGAAGAAGAGACTGTGACAAAGGTATTGGGATGTCACTCAGATTAGTTGACAAAATCACTGTGGCTTCCATCTTTTTTTGTTTGTTTGTTTGTTTGTTTTCTGGTACCAGGAATCGAACTCACGACCTTGCACTTGCCAGGCAGGCAACGTGCCGCTGAGCTAAATCCCCAGCCCCTGTGGCTTCCATCTTGATCACTTTATCCCCCTCTTGATCTGGGAGATGCTGGCGCCAGGTGGTGAAATACCCTATGAAGAGTTCAGGTGGTACAACAGCTGACCTGCTGGTCAACACATAAGACTTGAGCTTGCCTATACCCTGTGAGGGATCCTGGGAGCAAAGTGTCCCCCAGCAGAGTGAGGGGCAACTACAGTCCCAACAGACACTCTCACTGCAGCTTTGCAAGGGAATCTGAACTAGGAGTCCCAGCTAATATGCTCCTGGGTTCCTGACCCACTGAAACTACAAGATGATGTGTATCGCTTGAAGCTGCTAAATATTGAGGTAATTGATTATATGACAATAGATAACTAGTACAACTTCTAATTATACATTAGGGTAATGCAAACATTCTGCTGAATATATATGGTGAGATATGTAAGTAGGAGAATAAAATTATTTATAGACTTTAGCTTAGAATTTATAACTGAAGAACAGTTATTTTCTTTACAAATTTTTTGTTGTTGTCTCCCTTCTCTGTGGTACTTACTTTAAGGTTGACACTACAATGCCATTTTTTATAACAATAAACAGTTAAATGGCCAGGGAAAGGATTACATAATTCACAGACACTGCAATTGATGACCAGAACACTGACCCCAAAGCTACACAGAAATAGAGAATAGCAGAAGATGGAAACATATAAGTCAAAGAGCACTACAAACTGATT